GTAATAAAGAAACAGTGGAATTTATTGGGGAGTGTGTGTGTGGGGGGGGTTGACACGGTTGGACCTATGTTTTGGGAAAAGCACTTTGGCAACTATGTGGAAGACAGACTGCTTTGGGAAGAAAACCAAGGCAAGGAAACCAATTAGGAGACTCCTGCAAATAGTCCAGGAGAGAGGTGATGAGGGTTTGAACCAGGAAGGTGACCCTTTGAGTAGATGGTGATGATGAGATCACTTTAAGATTTAAGACACTTTCCATGTTATTCAGTTGTTTTTCAGTCATGTGTCTGACTCTTTGTGACCCCAAACAGTTTTCTCAGTAGGACCAAACATGAGCTGTTGTTATTCAGGCATGTCCACCTTTTCTTGACCCCTATTTGAGTTTTTCTTGACAAAGACATTGGAGTAGTTTGCCATTTCCTTCTCCAGCTCCCTTTACAGTTGAGGAAACTGAGGCAAATAGGGTGAAGTGACTTGCCCAGAGTCACAGCTAGTAAGTCTAAGGCTGGATTTGAACTCAGAAAGATGAGTCTTCTTGACTCCAGGACCAACACACTATCCACTCTATTCATCAAACTTTCTGCATGTTATCTCATTTTATCCACAGAACAACTTGTGAGGTAGGTGCTGTGATTATCCCCCTTCTACAGATGAAGAAACTGAGGCTGAAAGAGGTCAAATTACTTGACCAGGGTCACACAGCTGGAAGGTGTCCAATTCAAATGCATGTTTTCTGGAATCCACACCCAGCATACTATCCACCCTGGAGAGAAACAAGGGAATGAGTAACAGAGAGGTTTTGGAAATAAAATCAATAATACTTAACAAACTCATTGGATGGGAAGTGGTGGGGGTATTGAGACAGGAGGAGGTAAGCATGATTCCATGCTTGGAACCTACATCAACGGAAATGTGGTGGTGTCTCCAACAAAGAAGTTTGGAGGCAAAGAGAATGAGTTCTACTTTAGGATATCTAAGGGACATACACTTCAGGATGTCCCACAGCTTAGGAGAAAGACTGGGGCCAGAGAGATGGCTCTGGGAATCACCTACACAGAGGGAAGTGATGAGGTCCCAATAGATGGAGAAGAGGGCTCTGGAGGGAACCTCGAGGTAGAGTCACAGGGCAATATAGATGTCAACCCAGCAAAGGCTTCTTAGAAGACTAAGTCAGATCAGAAAAGAAACTCAGGAGCAAAGTTCAAGAAAAGCCCACTGGATCCGGAAATTAAGAGTTCAGTGGCAATTTCAGGAAGAAAGGTTTCAATTGAGTGATGAAGTCAAAAGCCAGATTGTAAAGGGTTTAGAATTGAGATGAAGGGGAGGCAGGAGTGTAGGAAGCTTTTTGCAATCTGGCTATGAAAGAGAGGAGAGATATGAAACCAGAGCTTGAGGGGATGGGTAGGGCCAACTGAGGATGGGCAAGACCTGGGCATGTTTGTAAAAGGAAAAAACAGGAAGATTAGAGCCTGAAGGGGCTTCTGCTGAATGAGACAGGAAGGCTAGGATGAAGGGGTCCCACAAAAGAGCTTGCCATATTAAGAAGGAAACCGAGATCTTTTTGTTTTAAGATATTCCTGTTGGGAGAGGTTGCCTATATCTGTGGTAAATCATGGAATGCATCATTTGATGGTATCTGAAAATCGGAGATTGAGAAAGATCCATTTATTAGGGTGACTGAAAAATAATAAAGGATTTGACCAGATTTTTTCTTTTAATGTACCTTAATTGTCGGCTTTGATGGAGACTGGGTCTTCCGCAGTGCCCACAGGTAGAACAATCCCCACAGCAATTTCTTCATCATCATCATCATCATAGTTAGCATTTGCCAGACTGTGCTAAACCCTTTATAAAGACTATCTCCTTAGATCTCTCACAACCCTTGGGAAGAAGGTGCTATTTTTACTTCACAGATGAGGAAACTGAAACAACCAGAGGTGAAGTTGATGCGGTTTGGGGTTGCAACCCCAAAATGTCAGGGCATAGAGAGGCTTCAGCCCGGAATGAATTCATGCACTCAAACCTTCTTCCAGTCAAATGACAAGGTTTATAGTAACACCAATAGAAGCAAGCAGGGCTTCCTGGTGAACCTGCAACTTAAAAAGGACAGTGAAAGGATCAGGATGGGATTAAAGAGGGGTAAGTAGTCTGGGGTGGGCCAGGTGAAATAGTGAAAGGAATACCAAATAGTCTGGGGTGGGCTGGGTGGGTGGGTGGGGACAGTGAAAGGATAGTCCAATTAGCTAATTAAATGATCTAGGTAGGCTGGGGTGGGTCTGATGCCTTGGGCAGAGGCATCAGTGATCTGGGCTGCTGAAATGTGTGGGAAAATTCAGGGACTGGGTTATTTCTAGAGACATGGTCTTTTCCTTCTAGGGGTCCAGGTCCCACCACCCCATCAAAGAGACTTACCCAGGGTCAAACAGCTAGAAAGTGTGTGAGGCTGGAGGTCTTCCTGAAGAACTGAGCCCAAGTGATGAGGTCTAGAGGTTTAGGGGTGCTGGGACCCCAAAATCATGAGACATGGGTCCTGCCCGAAAGATTTTGACCCAAGACTTCATATTGGGCAGACTCTTAAGGAATCTGAGCATCTGTGAGCTATTGGCTAGACTGTAAGAATCTAAGCACCTTAATGGAGACAAGATGGACCTTATATACAGAAAGACCACAGAGGAATCAAGGAGTGGCCAAGTAGTTTGGGGTGAGTGGCCAGTAAACTGGGATGATCAGAATACCTGGTACCTGGACCACATGGCCAAGGGAGAGTGGAGCCAGCTAGGATTAAGGGTGGGAAATGGCCGGAGGCCATAGGGAGGTAAGACAATGGAGGGCTAGGCTAAGGGTAACCAGAAATTGGGAGATTGGGTGTAGCCACAATGAAAGGCTAGTTGATGGGATTATAGCCTCAGTCAAATGCCAGATATTTGGCTAAATGGGAAAGTCCACAGTTTTTCCTTTTTGGGGTCTAGATCCCATCCTCATCAAAGGGACGCTTTAACCGTGTGTCAATACTGCTGTTAGAATGAACTTGTATGGTAAGAACAGCCACAATAAGGGCTTGTTACTCTTTTCTGGTTCCTGATCTTAACAGGAGGTCAGTGTTTGGTTGCTGACCATTAGAGGGAGTTAGGTGGTGCAGTAGCCAGAGTGCTGGGCCTGGAGTCAAGAAATCCCGATTTCAAAACCACCCACCCTCTTAACAGCTAGGTGACCCTGAGCAAGTCTCCAAACCTGCCTCAGTTTCCTCATTTGTAAAATGGGCATAACAACCCCTATCTCCCAGGGTTGCTGTGAAGATCTAACCAGACAATATTTGATGAGTTCAGCATAGTCCCTGGTACATTTGTTGTTCCGTCTAGTCCGACTCTGTGACCCAACTGTCCACAGGGTTTTATTAGCAAAGATACTGGAGTGGTTTACCATTTCTTTCTCCAGTTTTATGTAGGCAGAGGTTAAGTGACTTTCCGACTCCAGGCCCAGTGTTCTATCCACTTGGCCACCTAGCTACCCCACCCTACACTGTAAGCCCCTAATAAATGCTTATTCCCTCCCCGCCCTGCTAAAAGACTAGGTAGGCAAACAGCCTTGTGTCCTTTACCTTTACTAAAGAAGTAAAGATACTATTGCACTAATTGTATCTGAAGGACTATCTCATCCAGTTGGAGGAGGTGTAGCTGCATACACTTTGGCTACAGAACTGACCTAATTAACACATTCAACTGATTGTCTTAACTGACAGGCTCTTCTCGACAAAGCATCATCCAGCATGGCTTTTTCCCTTCCATGCAATGCCCAAACAAGCCAAGAATAGGTGATTCATCAAATCTTTCTATTGTAAAGCATAAAGAGGCCACCTATTTCAGAAAGTAGTTTATCGGGGTGGAGCACCGAGAGTTAAGGGAAAGGGAGGAAAGGTAACTTTTTTACAAAGGGGAAAAAGAGGCAGCCAGATCAAACCGGCCTCCCAGAGGGGAGGGATGGAACTTAAAAGATAGTCATGCAATCCTACCAGTTTCACTCCCTTAATTACGTTTGCTGCTGTGAGAACTTGTGGTGAACGGAGGAAGAAAAAAAAGGGGGGAGGATATAATTAAATGGAATTCAGGTGCACACTCCATCAAATATTTTAAGTTGGCTCTACTTTAAAAACAAAAGGTTATGCGGTTGAATCTGCTCCAATTCGCTTTACCAAGAGGTTAATGACACAAGACTTCTCCAACCATTCACACATGTGATTGTTTCTCTTTTCAACACGGAGCCCGCGCACCCAGAGGGTCAGATGTCTAGCACTACTGACCACCGCTTTTCATACTAGTAATTGCCCTGACAAGTAATTCAACTCAACACTTATTAAGCACCTGCTTTATGCATTGAAAACGTCTAGTCAAACATGGGTGCCCTATAACCCAGTATCTTTTTTTTTAATCTTTAAATCCCTTAGGGCACATGAAATCTGTATTTGAAATCGACTTAGTGGGACACCCCCTCTCCCCCCGCCCCATGTCCCATGTTAATTCTGTTTCTGATGGGAAAGCTCAAAACGAAAGTCCTGAAGACAAATCTTAATTTCATGGAACCAGAAAACTGCCCGTTTCCCTTCTTCCTTAAATATGTCCCCAAAACACCCGGTAAGGATAAAAACCAACTCTCTCCTCGCAATTTTTCTTTCAGAACAAAGGGTATATTTATTACGCAGCGTTTTGGGAAAGATGTTCTGTGTAATAACAGGGAGTAAATATGCATCTAGGCCAAAAATTCACTATCAGCTTCTAAGGACAGAGGTCTGCTTTTGTTTGTTATCTAGCCTACAAGCCTTTTTCTAGAAAGGATCCCAAAGTCCTCGCGCTAACGCTAAGGTTACTTACCTCCCCCACTAAAAATCCCATCCATGCACCTGAAAGGTTACAAAGTAACACTCCAGAAAAGTCAGACAAAGACACATTTCAGAGCCAGGAGGGAATGTCCAGATCCGCAGTCCCAATGACTTCTGTTGTTCTTACCGGGAAAAGGGCTTCAACTCTTGGTTTTATTTTTCACCTCTGGGTGACCAGATGGAGCCAGGGGTCCACCACGTCCAGTGCACCCCTTCGAGCTGCCAACCGTGGATTAATTCCACTCCAAGAGGGAAAGGGGCATGCCGCTTTAATTAAAGTCACAACACTACAATCCACCCTGCAATACGAGCATTTTCTTTTAACAGTGGGATGGGAGGGAGAGTGGCCCCTCCCCTCCCGAAGGGGCAGGCGAGCCCGGGGCAAGGGACTATCGGGAGTGGGGGAGGGCGGACTGCCTGCTTGTCCGCTTTTCTCCTTAATGCTCCAGGTGTGGGGTGAGTGGGGAGCCCGTTTGGGGATTCTAGTTGCTAACACTCGGCTCTTTTTCCCCCCGTGAGGGTAAGGGGTGGAAAAGCCTACCCTCTGCTCCCTGGGAGTCCTGCTACCTATTTTGTTATAAATGAAAACCAAACAAAAAAATAATAATAAAATAAAATAAAATCGGCTCTTCTGCACTTGTGGCGGGCATTTAGTTAATGATTGCTGAGGTGACCGCGCCTCCCCGCATGACTGGAGCAGGTGACGGGTTGCCGCAGGTGGTTGATACTTGTTAAAAGGATCAAGCTTATTAGTGCTGTAACAAAACATTTAAAAAAATTAAAAGACTTCATAACTTGTCAGTTCAATATGATTTCCCTGAAAATTGCACAACAAACTGTAGCATTTGTCATTGCCCGGGGGCATCCTAAAGTTTCTCTTTTCAGCAGCTGGGCGGACGGTTGTTTTCTAACGTCCATAAAACAAAGCTCCAGTTATGTTTGTGAGTGGGAAATGTTATTTTCCATTGGAAGCAAGTGTGAGGGTTCTTGGAAATAGGGTCACGGGACTCCTTTCAGTCTCTACTGAACCAAGCACCGTCTTACAAACTCAGGAGAAAGAAAGAGGGCCCTTTTATAAGAAAACCCTTTTCTGTTTGTTATCCATAGGGCCATAGGGTCTAAACCTGGGGTTTTGTAGGAATCGACTGGGAACTTAGAAGGAATCCCCTCTCCCAAGAAAGAACCCTTTCTCTGCAATCTATTTGCCCACCTAGTATATTTCAGAGCTGTGACTTGAACTATCATTCCATGCCCAGGCCAACTCTCTAACTACTACATCATGGCTACTTTCATGTTATTAATGATAAGGATCATAACAACAGGCTACAAGATGTGGTTGCAACTCACCTAGACTTGCTATCAGACACCTGGGTTCCAATCCTAGCTATCACACCATCTATGTGACTTGGTAGTAAGTCATTTAATTTCTCAGAGCCTAAGTGTCCTCCGTTAAAAAAGAGAGAAATTGGGGCAGCTAGGCAGTGGACAGAGCACGGGCCCTGAAGTGAGGAGGATCTGAGTTCAAATGCAACCTCACACTTGATACTTACTAGCTGTGTGACCCTGGGCAAATCACTTAACCCCATTGTCTTGCCCCCTCCAAAAAAAAAAACTGAAAGGAGAGGGAAGACTATTTCCTAACTCCTGGGTTTGTTGTGAACTTTTAATTTTTTAATTAATTTGTAACTTAAAATAACTTTCCTGTGATCTTCCTAACCTGCAAGCTTTATAATAGATACAGAGGATTCCTCTAATGACATTCTATTAATACTAATAGAGTACACAGGCTATCTCTACCGGTTGGCCCTTAATCTTGCAGTTTCTGGCTCTTCTCCCTCCTCCCCTTCCCATCTCCATTATATATCTATGATAACATAGTAAATCTTCAAATACTAAATATTCCAGATAGCAGAGGATAGAGCACCAGGCCTGGAGTCAGGAAGACGTGATGTTTGCAAATCAGACCTCAGACACTAAGTAACTGTGTGACTCTGGGCAAGTTACTTAACCTCGGTTTCCTCACCTGTAAAATGGGGGGAAGTGCCAAACTGAGAATTTGCACTCTAGTCCCAAGGTAACAGATCCTTTGAGGGTTTGTAAACACACACACACACACACACACACACACACACACACACACACTCTTAAAAGTCGAGTGAAGTCTCTATTAAGCCTTTGTAAGGACTACCTAACTCCCACCTGCTACACTGGGATGCTAGGGAAGCACTGAACATATTGCTTTCTCCTACCTCTCCTCTAAGGGTAGTTAGTCTTCTCTGTTTTTGCTGTTCAGTCATGTCTGAGGCTTTGTGACCCCGACGGGGTTTTCTTAGAAAAGATACTGGAGTGGTTTTGCCATTTCTGTCTCTAGTATGTCCCCATTTTACAGTTTACTGAGGCAGACAGGGTTAAGTGATTTGCCCAGGGTCACACTGCTGGTGTGTGAGGTCACATCTGAACTCAGGTCTTCCCAATTCCAAGTCCAGTGCTCTATCCACTTAACCATCTAGCTACCATTTACTCTTCTTAAATGACTGTTTCTAGGAAGAAATGCAGTTGTCTGGATCCAAGAGCACACAGCACTGGAAGAGAACAGAGATCCCTAATGACACAAAATAGAACCTTTTAAAGGCTTTTTCTCTGTGGCCACCAGTCCCTTTCTTTTCAGGACTCAATCTGGGGCAGATCGGATCTCCTAGTTGGACATAGATTTTAAGCCCCAAACTAAGCCAGTCTTGAAGACAGTAGGAGGAAGCCTATCCATGCCTCAGTGAATTCTAGCTCAGAAGTTGAGCCATGTTTCTGTGTAATAGAAAGTACACTGGTTTTACTGTCATTTTGACTCTTGGCCGAGCCTAGCTGTGTGATCCTGGGCCAAGCAATTAACCTCTCTGGGTCTCTGTTTCCTCATCTATGAATTGAAGATAATGATGCTTGATTGCATTACCCACTTCACAGGACTGGTGTGTGGAAGGTGTTTAATATGTCAATGCATGTTATTATTATCATTTCATGAAATTTTGGTCTATTCTAGGCCGATAGGTGTTGTATGGGATAGACTGCAGTACTCAAGTCAAGAAGATCTAAGTTTGAATCCTGCCTCAGATACTACTTGTACGACCCTAGGAAAGCCATTCAAACCTTCTATTTCCTCATTGGGATAATAATAGAATCTACCTCACAGGGTTGCTTTGAAAAATGAAAAGAGATAATATTAATCAATCAAATATTTATCAAGCTTCTGTATGTGCTAAATGGTAATGATAGAAAAAGGGGGGCAGGGGAGAAACAGTCCCTGTCCCTCAAGGAGCTTACAATCTTTTCTTTCTAGGTAATCCAGGTTAAGAGACTTGCCCAAGGTTATACAGCTAGTGAGTATCATGTGTCTGGGACTGGATTTGAACTCGGATCCTACTGACTCCCGAGCTGGTGCTCTATCCACTGTGCCACCTAGTTGTTCCCCTAGAGCTTACAATCTAATGGGGGACAGGAGGGATCTTGTAAACCAATATATACAAAGCAAGCTATATACAGGATAAATTGGAAATAATTTACTAAGGGAAAGCACTAGAATTAAGAGGAATGGAGGAGTGCTTTGCAAAATGTAAAGTACTATGGCTGTTATCATTATTATTCACTACAAAGATTTTTCACCTTGTTAACCGGGGGTTATTAGTTAATTCAACACCAGGGACAGTGAAAGCAGGAAAGTTCACCATTCTCTGTGACTGCAGCCTGGAATGCTCCCCCTCCTCTGCTCTGACTACTGACCTCCCTGGCTTCCTTTAAGTCCCAACTAAAATCCCACCTTCTACAGGAAGCCTTCTCCAACTCCTCTGAATTCCAGTGCCTTCCTTCTTTTAATCATTTCCTATTTATTCTGTGCATAACTTGCTTTGTCGCCCATTAGACTGGAAGCTCCTTGATCTTAGGGACTTTTTGCCTCTTTTTGCATCCCAGGGCTTAGCACATTGCCTGGCACATAGTAGGCACTTAAATCTTTCTTGATCGATTGGTACTACTGCCTCTTCATCCTATGGTGAGGAAAGCACTTTGGAAAATGTAAATTACTGCAGAAACATGGGCAAGTATTTTTCCTTAGAGAAAAAGCTGACCTTTCAATTATCACTAGAGAATATCAGCTGTCCCCGTTTCTGATTCTACAGGTGAAAGAAGGGAAAAAAAGCCTTCTTCCAGAAAAGCTTTATGGCCCCAGGCAGCATTGACTAAAAATACAGCAGAGCTATGTATTCTGGGGCGACTGCCCCATAGGCTGGTGACTTAAGCTCTGCACTGGGCTGGCTCCTTCCATCAGGGAACTTCACAGCCTCCAATTTCTCCCACTTTTGAATCTTCATCGCCTGCAGGTGAAAACATCTGGGGGGGAAAAATACAGAGTGGAAGCTACCTGACAAGCCTATCAGACCAGAGGTTTCAAAGTAGCCAGGTAAGGCACCTGGAAATCTTCCAGATCCCAGTCATGTTTAAGGCAACCAGATATTGTTTTTATTTCTGAGGGGTGCTGATTCTTCATTAGTACTAACAGAAATTAACCCTGTCTTTGATCAGCTCAGACAGCTGACAAATTTTCACTGTTTATATCTTTTTTGCAGTTGTTTGGAGAATGTCTCCCCCATTGGACTGTGAACTCCTGGAGGGCAGGGACTGTCTTTCTCTGAATCCCCCAGTAGAAACAGTTGGGGGGGGGGGAGTTCTTTTTTTTTTTTGGTTGTGCCTGACTCTTCATGATCCCATTTGGGGTTTTCTTGGCAGAGATACTGGAATGGTTTGCCATTTCCTTTTCCAACTCATGTTACAGATGAGGCAACTGAGGCAAAGAGTTAAGTGACTTGCCCAGAATTATAGCTAAGAAGTGTCTGAGGCCAGATCTAAACTCAGGAAGATGGATGCTTGTTGACTGACTGACTAAGAATTAAGAGTGAAGTTGGGAGGGTGGGGAATCAAAGTATTGAATTCTTAAATGAGCTTTTAATTGGATTTTGATAACAGTTTGGAGGACAATGATCCCTGTAAAATGGAGGGCGAGTGGAGGTGACTTTTACAAAACCTTGCTGCCTACCTCATTCAGCAGCTGTGGCAAGCTTTGATCTTTGCTCTAACAGGGAGCCCAGCCACGGACCTCTAACAATGCAGTTCACTTCAGATAATTCCTAAAATGTCCAGGAAGAGGGACTTGTTCACACTCTTGGGTATTAAACTATAACAAACCAAATAGAGACTGCCATGTAGAACTGAGAGATTGGGACAGTCACTCTTTGATACCAAGGGCTCAGCCTATGACTTTTTATGGAATTGTCTAACCATGCATCATTTTCTAGCATATCATGAGAAAGAACGATGGATTTGGAGTCACACAGACCTGAATTCAAATCCTGTCTGCTACTTATTATGTGACTTTAAACAAGCCCTCATCCACCAAATGTGGGGTTTGTACTCCAAGGCGGCCCCTAAGGCCCCTTCAGGCTTTAAATCTGTGATTTTATGATCCCAATTTTTCAAGCATCTCTAAGAGATAAACAAATAGTAATTGTCTTCTGTTTATAGAAGCAGACTCAGGCACTGAGTGATGAAGCTTGGAGGGTAGGGGAGAAAAATTCATGATAATTTTTTTTGTATATTTGAAAGGAATAGCAAGTTGTGCATTGTAGACTTGCAGTTTCATGTACAATTGTCTTTTTTATTATACTATGTTGTGGAAATGCTTGCTTTATTCCATAAATTAAAAATAAAAGAATATTCTTTTTTTAAAAATAGAGTATTTCCTGGCTGCCCTTTCTCTTAAAACTTGTCCCATTACATATAATGAATTAGTCTAATTCTGGGTCTCAAAGAATAGAAACACAGCTCTACATTGTATTATTGCTAAGTACAGTCACTTCTGCTATAATGCTTGTTTTTTTAAAATTATATACACATATGTGTATAATATACATGCAATATGTATATAATATATTGATATCTTATCTTTAACCTAGGGAAGACATCCCAAGATATACCCAATAGGGTGAATGTTGAAAATGGATCACTGGGCTGGATAGTGGACAATCTTTCTGACCCAGAATATCAATTTCATAGATTCTTAGAACTGTGCAGCACCTCATAGGTCATCCATTCCAAGCCATACTTAAAGCAGGACTCCCCTCTACAACTTCCAGCCCCTACTTGAAGATTCCCATTGATGGGGACCTTGCTGCCTTCTAAGACCCAAGAGCTTACATTTTTATGAAGTTTTTCTTTATCTTCAGCTGAACTCTACCTCCCTATAACTTCTGCCCCATTCTGTCCAGGTTATACCCACTGGTGCTAAGCAAAACAATTCTAATCATCTGCCATTTAAGTATGTGAAGACCACCATTTCTTTTTTCCAGGCTAAATATCCCTACTCCGTTCATCCAGTCCTTCTAAGCCACGGTTAGGAGCCATCTCATTACCCTGCACACAGATCTCAGAGTAAGAAAGGGCCTTAAAGATTAGCTAATCCAATCCATACCTGAGCAAGAATTCCCTGTATGATATCCTTCACAAATGGTGATCTAGCTACCAGCTGATAGATGGAGAGCTCATTCTTTCCCATTCAATTTCTGGACAGCTCTAATTCTTAGGAAAATTTTTCCTTACCTCTACCTAAAATCCATCTCCTTTCACTGTCCTCTTCTGTATAGGCTCCAGTTTGTCTTTACCCTTCATGAAATGTATTGCCTAACACTGAACACACCACTCTAAATGAGTTGCATACAATGGAAGGATTACCCTTCTTGTTCTCCATGAAGGTTCTTGTTTCTGCAGTGTGGTGTCTTCTTTTGGATGATGAAATATACTACTCTTAACAAAGCAACTTAAGTGGCACAAATCACTGTTTATCATGTTAATATTTCTTATGCTATAACTGCTAGGGAATCTATATCATTATTGCTTTTTAACAGCATCTGACAGGAGTGATTTGGACAGAGCCCTACTTCTCACAAGTCTCAGTACTTCTCATGTACTCTGAAATGCAACTAGTGGCCTCCATGCAAAGTAGGAGTAGAAAAAAAATACAATATCCAAAATAAGTTTAGCCCCTAAATTTTCAAACTTACAAGGGTAGCCAAAAATAAGGTACAGAAAACTATGTTTCCTACAATATTTGTCCCATTGTTTAAGCCTATCTGCTTCCCCTAGCATCAGGTTTTTCTCTGGACAAATCTCAAAGAGGAAATAATAATTGCTAACATTTATTTAGCATTTTAAGGTTTGCAAAGCATTTTTGTATATACACACACATGTGTATACATATATGTCTATACATATATAAAGTGTCTTTATTTTACACATTTAGTCTTTAAACATGTCTAGTTTACTGTGCTTTTAATGACTGTAACAGGGGACTGGCTGACTAACCTAGCCCTCATGAGCATGCACAAAATGTTTGGCCAGTGAAATCTTCAGGTAGACGGTAGAACATGGATCAACATTCTAGAAGTGAGTCTGGTCTGTTATGACATGGTAAAGACTGGCCTCCTTGCTTGGCTACTTATCCAGGGAGGGGTGGAGAGGAATTCAAAAGGCACTGCTGCTGGTGCTGTGGAGCCTCCGGCCCTCCCTGTCTGAGCCCAGCGTATGGCTTATGAAACAGAGGCCAAGGTTCTTTGCCTCAGCAACTGTTCTTTCATTTTGGGTGGAGACTGAAAATGATTATGACCCTGTGGACTTTGAGAAGTGCTAGAGTCATGTCCATGCCAGGATTTGTAGCCAACTAGACCAGTGTGATGGCCCAAGGAGTGACATGACTTTCCAGATCCAGTCTATCCATAGCTGAGACATAGACTAGCTTACCAGAAATACTGCATTTGGGCTTGAACGTGGTGGGGCCAATAGTATGTAGAAACTACATTACATCTGAACCCACTCTCCTCAGGGATCAAGGTGGCATAGTGGACAGTGAGACCCCAAGTAGAGGGAATTACAGTTTACATCTCTGTTCTTGCTATATCTTCAAGGTAAATATCCCCTTGGGGTATATGGGATGTTCAGGGAGGATGAGCAGATCTGGTGTGAGGGCTTGCAGAGCCCTTTTCAGGGCTGCTCATCCACCTTTGGTGTCTACCTTTCACCTAACTCTCATCTGTGGTTCCAAGAAGCTATAGCATTCGAAGCAGCCACACCCTGGTAAATCATCTTGGCAGACTGGCTAAATCAGGTTGTGGGTAACTGACAGGCCTCAAACCCAGGAGTTAGGGAGTATCTACACCAAGCATGTGGGGAATCCCCACCTCCGCCCTCACAGTGAAATGGGTAGGTGAGAACAATTTGTTCCAATGGCCATGAACTTGGCTGAAGTAGGCATTGTGGAGTGCTTGAAGCTTGGTCAGCATGTAAGATGCCATGCTCATCCAGTGCATCCTGGGCAATCACCAATTGTCCTGACTTTTGCCTTGACACTGGACTTCCATGATTCTGGAAATGAGAGTAAGGCAAGATGGCGGAGTGAAAGCAGTGACTTTTTTGAGCTCTCCCCCAAACCCCTCCAAATACCAGTAAAAAAATGGCTCTAAACAAATTCTAAAGCAGCAGAACCCACAAAAAGACAGAATAAAACAAATTTCCAGTCTAAGACAGCCTGGATGGTTGATTGGAAAGGAATATCATGCCAGGCGGGAAGAGGAGCTCAGTTCGTCTTGGGCGCGCAGGACGAAGCAAACTTGGAGCAGGCCTCAGAGGACTGAATCGTGGGCAGCTGTGGCAGTTTCTAGACTCCTCAATCCACGAACGCCAAAGACAACTTAGAAGGTCAGTGGGAAAAGTCTGTTTTTGCAGTGAGAGAAGAGCTAGGTCAGAGCCAGTTCCAGAGCGCAGAGCGTGGGCGCCAGTGCGGTGGCTGTGTCCCGAGCTTCCAGCCCACTGACTGAGGGGGAATCAAGTGGCTAATCAGAGGGGGACTGAAGGGATCTCTTTGCCAGTGCTGAAGCAGGAATCTCTTTCTTTGCCTGTGCTTGGATCTGGGTCACAGTTCTGGGTGGTGGTCCTGGGGTGAGGAGGAGCGCTGGCACTGTGGGGCTTGTGGTGGTGATGGAGAGAAAACCCTCCTCACAGTTCCAAGAGAGAAAAGACTGCTTGTGGCCAGTCACTCAAAGACCAGAGAACAGTCCTGGAAAAGAGTAAACACCTCGACCCTTATCATACCACCTTAGAAGAACTGAAAATTTATAGGTCCCTAGAAGTATCTCTGAAAACATCTATACAAACCCCCAAAGCTTCAGACAGTACATTCGCCACATTGGAAGCAGACTTTTACCTTAACAAAGAGTTTACAACTCAAGTAATTGGCTGGGATCATGAGCAAACCTCGCAAAAAGAATCAGACTATATTACCTTACTTTGGTGACAAAGAAGATCAAAACATACAACCAGAAGAAGACAACAAAGTCAAAGCTCCCACATCCAAAG